GTAGAGTATGTCATAATCCATGAGTTTTTTTCACGAACGTGCCTCAACAATCCACACACAGCAGGCCTGTATATTTGATTGGAGTATATGAAGCAGTGTGATCCATGCAATGCAATTATACACATCTCTTTCCAGGTATGTAATACATTAGTGGGAGAATTAGGAATGTTTGTAAACAGCTGATTTACAAACCTTCTGATGTTGAAAGGTTAGGAATATATTCAATGGAATCGTTGCCCCCATCAATGAAAGTTCCCATGTAAGTCAATGCTTGAAGTGCCTAAAAAAAGATAAACAAATCACAAACTTTAATGAGCATATCACCTCAAGTGCTGGGTTCTTTCAAATGTTCCCCTGCAAAGATCCAGTGCATTGTTCTAGACTCTAACAATTTCTGCATAAAAGCTTCAGATGCTTCAACATCAGAAATCAAAGAGTAAAGGCACAGATGTAAAGGCAAAGGTTTATTTTTTTTAAGGAATGTCAAAGTTCCTTTGTTCCATACAGTTGATCAACAAAATGCGAAGGTATAGCTACTTGGAACGTGTCTTGTCCAAGGTGAAGCTGGCCCTTTAGCGTGATGTGTTCCTTTATAGGTCCTGCATATTTACATATTTTACATATTGCTTCATCTTTAGAAGTTTGTTGCAATCTTGATCCGCAGCATAATGAACAAACTGTGTGTATAAAAACTGGACAGAGCTTATCTACTTCAAAGTATCCAGGTATCTGCAAAACAACGTGTATTTAATATGGGCTTGTTTCATTTCCTTTCGCACTTACCCCTGTGCATTCCCTTGCAATATTCCGAAAAAGTCCCAGCTACGCTGGGAGCATAGTGCATTGTATACATTGTACATTGTATACATAGAATATTGCATTCCCTTGCAATATTCCGAAAAACAGAGTCAAGGAATTATTTTGGCATCATCTATTACACATGAAACAATGCTCATGCCTGTGACATTTGCTCTCTTGAAATAACCGTCTCCTTGTAAATTAATGAAACATCTTGTTGGTGGAGTTCCAGAAAAACATTCATTCATCAACTCTTTGAATAATTCCATTATGTTGCCATGGAATTTGAGCTGCCATCATATAGATTATTGTCAGGGATCCACATGCTATATTGAACTTACTATATCATATCAGACTCGTTGATGTTATCTGTTATTGTGAGTTGACCACTGTTGTAGCCTATATCATTGATACTCACTACAACACCTTCAACAGAACCTACAGAGTCTCGGCCTCTACATGACTCCACAAAGTTTGCAATGCTGATAGTTGGTACAGACAGACGAAATTGTGGCACTATAAGCTATTACCTAAAAGCTTACGTTTTCTTCCTAGCATAATAGATGCTCATCATTGTGGTGGGTCAATAAAAAGAGGAGATGCACTGGGTTGGAACTCAAGTCATCATGTTGTTTCGCATTTCTCTAGCATGACTCCACATTCAAATATATATAGCCACAGATACCACCTACTCAAAAATAAACTGGAGATAACCATAAAGGAAGTGCATAGAAAGAAAAATAGGCAGCTAGCCTCTTCCCACTCTTTCATGCACTGTGGTCCATGCACTGTGTGCGAGTGGAATCCCGAATGGGACAGCCTTTTGCCCGATGAGCAGGCCAGGCTCAAGGCTCGGCAGGGCGTGAAATACGTTTGCCTCGATGGCTTACAGGTGCTCAACTCCGAGCTAGCAAGCAAAAAAATTTAGCAGAAGCAGCGAGCGAGTAAGGAGTGACGAAGAACCAAACAAATAAGACAAATACATTATCAGAGATGAAACTCTAGAACCGGTTGCCAAGGACGGTGTCACCATTGGCGAAGTTTGCATACGTGGGAACATGGTGTTCAAGGGATACTTGAACAATCCAGACTCTGGGGACTTGGCAGTTTGGCATCCCAATGGATACATCAAGATCAAGGATCGAGCCAAGGATATTATCATTTCTGGAGGGGAGAACATTAGCAGCCTGGAAGTGGAGAGCATCTTGTACAGGTAAAAGGAGAGTTTTTCCTTCTTTGTTTCTTGTTAAAGTTTGCTTCTTTTTCATCCAGGCATCCAGCAGTGTTGGAAGCTGCTGTGGTGGCGCAGCCAGATGAGCAGTGGTCCATGTGCGTTTGTGTCCCTCAAGCACGGCGTGAGAAGCAACAAGGAGGAGATACTCTTGTTGTATCGACAGCATTTACCGAAGTTCATGGTGCCAAAGAGCATCGTCATTCTCACAGCCTTGGACAAAACTGCGACTGGCAAGATCCAAAAACAGGTGCTGTGCAGCAAAGCAAGAGCTCTTGGCAGTGTCAAGTAAATCAGCAAGCTCTACAAGCCAACTATTGAACTTGTAAAGCTTGAAATCGTTCATGGCCTGGAAAATCCCCAATCTAGCCTGGCAATTTTAAATCGGTCAGCTACTGTCCGTCCGTTGTAATGTACTGGAATGAAAAATAAATAAGTAACATGCAAGAACCAAGAACGCAATTCATCTACCTCAAACAGTAGCTTTGTCTTATCAGCTGTCACTCTTGCATATCCAAATGCCGACCTTCGAATCAAGCTCCATGAACTAAACTGTCGACAAAAAAAATAGAAAAGGTAGAATATCAATACCATATAAAGAGCTTGAATATAGGAAACAAAGCTGCAAGCTTACATTATGAGGGAAGTCATCCAAGGTGAATTCAGCCATGCCAACCACGGTGTGAACTGGAGCTGAGTAAATTGTAGTGTCAAAGAAATCGACGCCTGCTAAATCCTTGATCGGGTGCTGCAGGCAGCGCCCTGAAACACAGCACAAGTTCGCAGGTAATTGTGAACATGCCCCCACACTGCTAAATCAACCTGTGCAAAAAAAAAAAGAAAAAAGAAAAAAGACAGTTTCATTCTAGTTTTCCCTTTGAAGAGCTCGTGTTTTACCTTGTTTCTCAAGAGCAATGGTTCCACAGCTGCTACAAATTTCGGATCCACACCTGGTAAAGTTTAGAAATAAATCCCCCGCAGTTGAGTGGAGTACATAGGTCGATGACTGAAAGAAAAATAGCACACATGAGTTTACAGAATGAAAATGTGAATAAAAACAGTTACCCTGTGAAAACTATCCATGGTGTACTGAATCTGCCGACAGATTCAAGGTCAGATTTCATCCAAGCGTACTGTAGAAGAAGGTTTCGTTGAAGGAAAGATGAAAAGAATAAGAATGCATACTTGTTCGCTGGTCGAGCTCCAGTCATGTTCTGTAGAGATGACTGTGAAATGCATGGGGCCAATAGCCATGGAGCCGTGGAGCTGTGGCTGTCCCGAGGAGAAGTACAGGGACGAAAATTTCTTTTTTTTCTCTTGGTTCCAGCCTCGAGCACCTGGCACAAACAGGAACTTTAAGCCTCGAAAGAGAATAGCAAAAAGCAAGAGAGTGAAAAACCTTGATTCTAGTCGTGGTTCCAGCCTCGAGAACCTGGAACAAACAGGGGCTTGAGAGTCTCGAAAAAAGACTGTCATTTTTCCGGCGCATGGCCATTGACAACGGTTTCCTGAGCTTTTCAATCGGTAGCAGCTTCAGATCTTCACGTACAGCTGACTGTAGCTCTGAGGTGCTCTGCAATGAAGACCGCATCAAACACACACACACACAGAGACAGAGAGAGAGAGAGAGAGAGAGTACCTTCCCACAAGCGATGATCGACGCTCTCTCCTCGTGCTCACGCACCCTAAAAGACAATTAAAAGTTTTTATGATCCCAAAAGTCACGACTCCCCATTGTTTAATCTCAGCCGTTAGATTTTGGCATATGCCCAGAATAAGTGACGCCAGCATATACTATTATTATACCGGCTCTTTCGTTTAAATATATGAGTATGACTAGCAAAAGTCCCAGCTACGCTGGGAGCATTGTGTTTATTTCTGATATTTTAATAATTTCAAAGAGTGTAATTTTTAACATAATCATAATTATAAGATATATAGTTAAACATAACATAATATTTATATTAAAAATATCTTCAACAATTGACTCCATTACCAACAAACATAAAAACATAATAAATATAACTCAGTACATTATATCATATTTAAAATTCTGATTGTTGACTGAAGTCTTGGATATTCTATAAATGGAATTTCTCACTGTGGGATCCCATTCTCAGATGAGTCATTTTTTATTAACTAATTTTTTCTTTTATTTGAAATCTCTATATAAGTGATAAAAATCTTATTATTTCATGATTTATTAAAATATATAATTTCTCCTCTTAATAAAGTATGTGTTACTTAGGTACACTCAATTATAATGATGTTAAAAATATATTTAATATATATTTAAAAACTCACCTAAAGTGCATACATCTTTTAAATTTAAAAAATATAAACATTGTTATAGAGTTTCTCTTTTCATCATTTCAGACTGAAAGTTTTGGAATTGCATAACAATAAGTGAAAGACGTTAGCTTTATGTGTTATATTTTCTTTTATAAAATTATAATATTTTACATATTTATCATTGATATTCCTTTTTTTACCTAATATTTATATTCATGCATTTTGAGAGTAATATTTAAAATAGAAAGTATTCTCTTATATATCATAAACATTATTTCTGTACTTGTTTTTATAAATCTAAAATAATAATATTATTTATTTTTATTCATGCTTTTATATTTAAAATTAAGGCTTTATAACACTGTTATGAATGCTGAAACTTTATGAT